GTTACCCTCCAAATTTTAAAATTTCTCCCAAAAACACCTTAACCAATCCCTCCCTCTCTTCCCACCAAATCTCCCCCATAACTCTCCCTCTGTTTTCTTGCCAAAACTGAGACACACTCTCTCATTCTTTCTTTTTTAGTTTGAACTCTCCCTTTTACTTCCCTCTCACCTCCTCTCCTCAACTAAAAATGAGAACCTTGCCCTTTCCCTTCTCTCTTCTTCTGCTTCTCCTCTCTTTATCCCTCACATACACTAAACCTAACATTAAGCCACTTAACAATACATGCATTCACTAGCCTAAGCTAACCCAAGCCAAACCCCGTGTAGCCCCAACAAACCCCAACCGAGCCTAGTCACCCATTAAACACCCTAACCAAACCCTACACACCATAACCTAGCCCAAACCAAGCCAAACCTACCATAATCCACCCCAATTGAGCCCCATTCACTCTAATCCACACTAAACCAAGCCAAAACCTAACCTTATCTCTTACCCAAAAGTCTAAAACAAATAAATAAATAAATAAAAGGGATGATAGCGAAATTTCCACACATTTATGTGGTTATATGATGATTCTCATGTAATTATATGGTTAAGTGATACTTATACTCTAAGTTTGTGTTTTTACCTAGTAAAGTTCATGCGTTATATGTTTTCACCATGAAAATTTATGTGTTTACCATGCAAAGTTCATGTGTCATGTGTTTACCATACAAAATTTATATGTTATGTGGCTTGCACTCCATGCTAGCCCACTTTGTTATGTGCCTATGTATGTGCCTCATGAAAATAAGAAACATAGAGACTTAAGTTATGACTCATGCCATATAAAACTCATATTTTAGGGCTATATTATAAAAAAAATGAGAAAAGAAAAAAAACACACAAGATCTCACATGTTAGTTTTTTCTCATGCGACATTTTGTCACTCACAATATCTCATATGCTAGCTCCAAAAATCTTAAACCTTAGCTTTATGTCACACAAAAAATCTCATATGTAACTTTATTTCAATCATAAGATCTCATATGTTAGCTTTAAAAATATCTCATAATCTTACACGAAGCATTATTGCCCATTAACAAAGTGCTTTACAACACCATTTCATATGTTAAAAACTAATCCTTGCTAAAATAAAAATGAAATGTGCAGGCCGAATCAATAACCTAATCACCATAAGGGTCACCATCAGAGACAATTAGGTGTTCACCTTCACTAGCAACTTCTCTAGCAAAAATGGCTTCACCAGAATGATATGATTTTTTTTTGCATTTTTGATTTGAAGTTGCTTTATTATTTTTTTAATTTTACAACATATAATATTCCTTTTTCATTTGCCCCTTTTTTTACAGTAACTGTAGATCTTATCATTATTCCTAGATTTTAATCTACTATTTGTTTCAATACCAATACTCATCTCTTGAGTTCTACCTCAAATGAAAAAACTTTTGTTCGAGCACCAAGTTCTTCTACAAACAGTTTCATCCTTTCTTTAGGAACTAAAGCATCATAAGCTTCATATAGAGTAAGTTTCTCTCACCCGTACAAGATGATAACTCTAAACATTGTTTATGACGAAGGCAATAGGCACAATAAGATTAATGCCAAATTTTTTTCGGCATGCATAACTTTTATATCTTCTAAATTAGAGATGATTTTCTTAAAGAAAGTAAAGTGTTTTATAAGAGAAGGACCTTATGTCATTCTTTGAGAGTGAAAATGTAGCTATAAGTGCAACTTATTCGTCAAATTTTTCATCATCCACAATTGCTATAATTTCATTTATATTGCAATAACATTCTTCCCCTTCAAAACATCATGCAAATTTTGATTTGTTAGATGAAGATGAATTTGAGAAGGACCCTTACATTGATTCTCCTCTAACATCCATGACGAGGGCATCCTCTAGCAAAAACCCTTACATTGATTCTCCTCATACAACCCAAGTAGCGCATCACCAAGATTTAACTATACTCTTCTCCTCTAACATCCATGACGAGGGCATCCTTTTGAACCCAAGTAGCGCATCACCAAGATTTAACTATACTAAGATAACTTGCATCTTATCTTACTAAAACAAAAATCAGGTATTGTAATTTAAAAGAGAGATATCGTACATCACTGTTGCCATTATCAAGGTGAAAACTTGTCTCTGATAGCACTTATTATAACTTAATATCAAATTGATACAACAAATACAAAATAAGCAAAAGAAAGAACATGCAAATTTTACATGAAAAACCCAAGATGTGAAAAAGCAAAAAACAGAAGAGGAGAATTCTCTATATCAAATTTGAAATTATGAGTGGAGAGATTTGACTAACACAAAACAATAATACAGAAAAATGAGTGACTTGTAAAACATTAAAAGGGGTATTTATAGTCTATACCAAGAACCTTTTAAAGAACAAAAAAATAAAATGAGTCATCAAATACATAGATTGTAATCTAAAGGCTATTATAAGATTGATCAAATGGTTTGAGATTTCAAACCACGTGGTCATAGTTTCCTTCTAAATCTTTAATTTATGTGCTCATGGTTTCCTTTTAAAACCCTACTTCGCGTGCCCACATTTTTCTTCTAGGGTTGGAATCAGAGTGTTCATAATTTTCTTATAAGGCGATAAGCAAATTTTACAAAATTTGGGTCACAATTTTTGCACAAACATATTTAAATCAATAACCATGAGTATCAAATATTTGATATGATTTATATGTTATTTTGAGTTGAGATAATATAAACTAATATATTTGCTTGCACTTGTAATAAGCCATAAATGCATCATATTCTTAGTGTGCATACAATCATTGCTATAGGGCTATATGTATAGATTATACAACTTTATGGCCAAATTTTTTAGTTTATTTTTTTATAAATAGACATATGATGCCTTATTTTATAAAAGATATAAAAAAGAGTTGTGATCGTCATACAATCATAAACAAAGTCTCATCCATTTATTTCCCTCTATTATTTGAAGAAAATCTAGAAGACCAAAGAATGTTGAAGATCAATATATATAAGGAGGCTAGATTTGCCCATGATAACATGTGATATTTATTATAATAATGAGCATAATAGTTTTACACACAAATAATCAGTAAAAATATGTGATAAATTTATAATTCTTAGTTTACTTTTTTTTAAATAATAATCATGAATGTTTGCATAGATTTTGGTATAATAATCTTTTCTTTTCGTTATCCAAAGATAGTTGAGCACATAAAGAAAACATATCAATATCATGTTATTCTATAAAATGATATAGAAGATAAAAACTAAGCCCAAGTTGAGGAGATTTTATCATCCTTTTGCTTGGTAGAACATATTTACTATCAAATTCAAAATTGGTCAATATGCAGACTCTCTTAATTATAATTATTTTTATGCACACTTTTTTCTAAACTACTTCAAATTTTCACCACATAAGGCATAATTCTTGATGTTGCAAGATTTTTATGAATGTTTAGTGACTTGCTAGTATGAAGTTCAAACTTTATTTATGCCTTTTGAAGACGTCAATTTTATCCAACATCTATACTTCATTAGATTGGACTATTACTTTATTGCAAGTTTGGTGGAATGATATTATCCTCTAATAAATGTATTTCACTTGCATGCTTGCGAAATGACTACAATGCTTCAAACAATATATATTATCTTCAATGTTAGACTAGATAGTGCATTCATGATTGGGCTTGTAGTTGTTGACCCTAATTTATGATGGTGTACTATTAGGAATGGTATAATGACTGATTAAGCATTCACCCTAATGCATATATTATTTGTCATTATTTAGAAGGCCATAATATTGTGGTAAGCTTTATATGAGCCATGTGCAATTACACTCACACTCAATAATACCATTTCATTGGCTCATATGTGCTCTTTGTAGGGGTTTCTATGAGGATTTATTTATTTCTATCCTCTGAGGCATTTTAGATAACACATCCTAGATAAGTTAGATTATTCTCTTACGTTCAACCCTTAGGATCACATTTATATTTATGCAATTTGTAATAGTTGAAAATTTTAATTGTCCATCAATATTCTTTAGTAGGCTCTATACTCTCCCACATTTATATTGAATTAAATTTGTCAATAAAGCCCACACATGTAAATATGAATGGATGTTTGCACTTAAATATCTTGGGAGCACTCATACGTTGAGTTGCCAACTCTCATGTTAATTTCCCGAGGAACATTGTCCCCGAACCATGGTAAAAAATATTAATTTATTAAGGTGTAGTTTAAATGTAAAAAAATAAAACTTTAGGTGTAGATAAGTAAATACAAAGGACTCAATGATATGTATGCAAATCTACCATTTATTAATTTCTAATTAAAAAATTGTACTTGAATGCTCATTTTTCTGAAAATCCCCCAACTGTCAGCCCCTTGTGACAGCAAAACATTGACAACGACTTTCAAATAGATGAATTTATTAGTTTATTTTTTCTTCTATTATCCGTTACCTTTCTTTAGAACAGGATAATTATATATATACAACTCAAGTCTTATGTATTTATAATTCTAACATCTAAATTTCAATTATTACTATATGTGCCATTTTACCCATATATGAAAATGTAGATTTCACATTTTAAAAGTTAGAATAGTCGTAATTTTTATTTGATATGAAAATTTTGAGTGATATAGATGCAAAAAATTTGGGTGGTATGTATGTAATTGTCCCATTTTTCGGGAAATTTTACATACATACCACACAATTCTTATGTTTCTAAATATCTAATATCCAAAGTTTGATATTTACTGATACTTAGTCTTAATGTCGTAAACCTTTGCACGAAAAGGTGTATTTCGCCATAGAAAGGTAGTTGCTGTGATGTTTTTGATGTAATTTCAAATATTTGAATGAAATACATGGGAAAATTAATGTTTAGATGTTTAATATGTAAACAAACCCTTTCCCCCCTTTTATTTGATTTATTTTTTGTTAAATGAAAGCCCTTATTTGGCTAGTTTTTAAGTCGGGTTTTTTATTTTTCTCCGTTGCCGCGGCTTCCCTCCGTCCAAAAGGAATTTCGACCGCATAAGACGGCAGTGCTCTGCTCTGCTCCTCTCCCTCGAGCTCTTCCGTTTTCTGCACCCTGGAATGAAGGCTTAAGGGCTAGAACTCCTCTCATATCGAAATCCGATCTAGGTATATCAATGGAGGCTTTTGAAGCAATCGATGCGTTTCTCGCGGCAGCGAGCGGAATATGTTGCAGTACATTCGCTATTTTCCTCCAGATCCAGGTTCGCTACCTTCTTCCTTTCCTTTATATTTGTCTGCTCTATTTGTCTAGATCTGGCTTCAATGTCGTTCGGGTTTTTACGTCCGGCAATTCTTTGATACTTGTCTGCGTTTTACTAGCCTCCCGCTAATACATTGTTGTGAATTCATCATGAATCAGGGCTCGTTTTCATGTATCAATTGTCTAGCTTCTTTTTTTGCCCGAATGGTGTTACTCGTATTACGTGTATCCAGGTCTTGGTTCCGATAAGCTATGTGGTCCGAGTTTATAAATTGGGGTTTCCTTTGCACCGCTGGAATGAATAGTGAAATAAAGTGAGGATGGTGACATAAAAGCAGCGATTGTCTCCAATGAAATTAAATCTTCTGCAAATATTCGTTTTTCGGTAGGTTGCACAGTACGAATTTGAGCTGTGCAGTGATAGCTTTGCAATAAAAAAACAAATTTCAGGCCCATTTTCCTGTCAACAAATGGTTGAGATAGAAAGGGACTAATTGTCTGCATTCAAACTGGTAGACATTCGAACTAGTATATTAGTCATGAGCGAATGCAGTAATTCAATAACCATTGCCATCACTTGGACTGTATACTTCGAAAAGAAAAAGGTCCCGCTTCGCAAATAACAATGGCGTTAAACTAATAAGATTTCCTTAAAAGTTTTATTTTAGTAAGGAAAATTTTGGCTTTTACGAACCAAAACAAGATGCATGGCTCGATTATTTCCCGCTTCACAAATAACAATGGTGTTAAACTAATAAGATTTCCTTACTAAAGTTTTATTTTAGTAAGGAAAATTTTGGTTTTTACGAACCAAAACAAGATGCATGGCTCGATTATACTTGATTGTGTTGTCTTTTAAATTTAAATTTACCATGGTGAAATATGAAATTTATAGAAAAGATGATGGTGCAAGCTTTGCTTTACTAGTCTTTCTTGCTGAAATCATGTGAAAATAGTCTAATAGCTTCACATTTATTAGGGCAACTAGCACACTGTAAATGCTATTCTTAAATCTGTCAGGTTTCTCATAATGCCGCTAAATAGTTTTTTCAAAACATGTCAGGAGACCAGAATAATTTTACTTGAGAAGTTTTTATTTTATGAGTTTTTTTTTTGTTTTTCTTACAATTATTCAAGAATGAACGAGTTAATAATTTTAACTGTTTAGTTCTGGAGTGGGTTTCGTGGCTTTAAAATATATTTTAGTTTTGCTAAGACTTTAAATTTATAGAAAAAACACAGTGCAAGCCTTGGCTGAGCATTCTTTCCAGTGAAATGAAGTGAAGATAGTAGAATGGCTAAGCATTTATGAGGCCAATATCTAATAACTGGCTCAATTTATTTACATGGCAATTGGTACTAAATCTGATTATTACTTCTCACTTACGTACAAGGATGCAAAAATTTTCAGCTACTCAGCTGTATTTAGTCCAGTGAGTTCAGATTCTTATGATACATGTGTTCCACATGAACATTTTAACCTCTTGTGCTTGCTATTTTTTCATCAAAAGTTTCTTCAGACTTTTATGATAATGAAATAGACGGAATCCTTAAACGTTGTTACTTCCATATCTGGTGGTGACACTCACCGTATTCGTCTGATGTATTCAAGCTAGTTAATTATGCAATGCTGTTCCCATTTCCTTTATTTGCTTCAGATGCAAATTGGTGTATTTTTGTTCAATTATATTATAAGTTTATTTTATTTTATTTTTTATTTTTATTTACAGGGGTGCTTGATATGTTTAAGTCTTGCATTAGGATGGAGTTTTGCAGCCTTTGTTAGGTAAGAAAATATCAAGAAGATCAAGCTTTATAAAGAAATTTTTAAGTAATGGAATATCAGATTAAAATTGTTATGATTTGTTCATCAGGAGTAGAGTAATACGGAGAATTAAACACAATATTGAGGGCGGTAACAGTTTTGGTTTTATTTGTGATGACATAAATGATCTTGAGCACTCTGTTCAAGTAAAGTTACCAAGAGTCTCAGTTGTCATGCCTTTGAAAGGCTTTGGAGAGCATAATTTACAAAACTGGAGAAGCCAGGTTAGTTTTACTATTGGTTTGCTATGTTATGCGATGCCACTTTTATAAAAAAACTACTCTTGATTAGAACAATATAGGATTGTTTATTTCTATGTTATCGCAGATGGAGAGTTATTGCAGCAACATTTCAGCTACAACTTTTGATGAGAAAAAAATAACTTCAAAATTTAGTACTAAAAAATTCGCTCAAAAGCTTTTATACATTTGACTTGCTTTCTCAGATCTCATCAATGCAGTTTTATGCGCTCACTAATGGGTGAAATTAGCATTGCAAGCATAAGAAAACCCACATCAATTAACTTTCTATTTACTTGCAACAGAGATTATCGTCAATGAAAAGATATAATGATATCTTTTATTAGTTTTTACTTTATATTTCTAGCTGGACAGGGGCATATTAATATTTAGAGAATTCTCTGTACATATTTCTCTTGTTTTTATTGGCTATTCAAGTTTATGCAATCCTATGCCTTAATTTAATAAGAAATTTGAAGAAGGAATTTCTTGGGGGTTGGTTGTGCTGGTTTAAATAGCATATAAAGGCAGTAGCTGTTGGCTTTATAAAGCATAAGGCCAAAGTAATTTAGAAAAAGATTGATAAGGAAAGTTATAAAGCTAGACTGTCTTTGAATTTTATATATTACTAAATTAATTATACTAGTATTTTATTTTAATATAATTATAATAAATCATTTGCTTGTATAACCTTATTAATGGCAAAACATACCAGTCATATCAAAGTAAGAAAATGCATGCAATTTGAATTTTTAATACACTTTGCTTCATTGATGCTCCTCTCCCTTTCTCATTGATTTATACTTTTGTATGCGCACATGCATGAAAGAACAGAGAGCAAGATAAAGAGAAATTGAACAAGTGAGGAAATTTTTGAGTGATTTTAAGTATCCACTTCTAGCACAATACCCATTCTATATTTCATGTAACTGAAATTTTCTAATTAATTCAAGTAGTTATATTTTAATTTCCAATCTAACTGATTATATTTGGGTTTTTATTAACAATCAGATAACCTCTCTCTATGGGGGTCCCTTGGAGTTTCTTTTTGTTGTTGAAAGTGTTGATGATCCAGCCTACCCACCTGTGTCTATGCTTATATCAGAGTACAAGGTAGGCCCTATGTTTTCAGTCTTAATGCTTCCACGGAATAATGTATTATTCCTTCCCAGCAATCAATGAATATTTATGGGTAAGGTTATCTTCATTGGAACCTGCTGTGAAATAGTTCTTCTGTATCTGTTTGATGAGAGTGATGGTTCCAACTGGTGTCCAGTGTTTTAGAAGAATGCAATCTTTTCACAACTTCTAGTCTTCTTTTGCTGCTCGTGTTTCTTGGAAATTTGAATTCATTTCTAGTCTTGTTTTGCTGCTCGTGTTTCTTGGAAATTTGAATTCATTCCCTTAAGTCATATGCTAATTTGATAGTTCAATATTTCTAATGGTTAGTCTCTTTAATATTCTCGCATTTGACCATATCTTTTGATATGAAGCCTCAGTCCCCATATCATTTTTCTTTCATAATGGCATTTATGTTTCTCATTTTCAGGATAGTGTTAATGCAAAGATTGTTGTAGCGGGGCTATCAACCACATGCAGTCAAAAAATTCATAATCAGTTAGTATGTTAATATTTTTTATCATCTTATTCTGTGAAAACATTTTATTTCCTTGTTTTTTTCCTGTTGTTAAAGTTTTTTTTGGGCAAACAAGATAAACTTTTGTGGAGCTATACAAATTGCTCAAGTAAATCATACACATTAATATGGAATTTTCAAACATGATAAGTGCTCTCTTTGTTTTAGATCCGTATTGTGAAAGGCGTGTGATTTTCAATTTATGTTAGCACACACTAAGGATGTGTTTTATGGGTTGTTGTCATCAACATAAAAAATATATGGTGTAGAAAGTAAAACAATGGAAAAATTTCTCAAGAATTTAAATTGTGTTTTCTTTGTACATGATAGGAAGTGCATGTGTGTATCTTCATTTGGCTTTACAAAAAAAAGAATAATTCAAAAAAATAGGAAAAACTAAGAAGGCACTGCAATCCTCTAGAGAAGCATGCAAATTGCAATATGAGGGCCATAGAGAAATTGATCCAATTCTATAAGACTTTGAACTATATGCTTTAAGTTCTTTTCTATGATTAGAGTGTGAATGGGCTCTATCGTGGAAGAGCGATTCAGAACTTCTCCTAAAACTAGATGGTAAAGATCAACCATTTCAAATTTACTTATAATGTTTTTGAATGTTGGGTTCCAGGGTTAAATATGTTAGCTAACTGATTCCTTGAAGACACCTATGGAGCGCAAATTAGGTCATTTTCCAATATTTCTTTTATAAGTGCCTATCTACTTCAACATGTTTGGTAGGCTTATGTTGTATTGGATTGTGTGCATGCTAATGGCTGATTTGTTATCAAGTTATATTTTCAGAAGTTTTTTTAATTTGATTTTTAAATCTTCTAATCTGAATTGGGTAGGTTTAAATATGTTAGCTTACTGATTCTTTGAAGGCACCTATGGAGTGCAAATTAGGCCACTTTCCAATTTTTCTTTTCTAAGTGCCTTTCAACTTCAACAAGTTTGGTACGTTAATGTTGTATTGGATTGTGTGCATACTAATGGCTGATTTGTTATCACGGTATATTTTCATAAGCTTTTTTTTTAAAGTTTTTTAAATCTTCTAATATGAATTGGATCCATAGAAGCTCACAAATTCCTTGGATAGTAGTTCTAAAACTATCTTCAATATTTGATATTGAAATCATAGGTTCCTTTTTACTTTTCGAAGTTATGAAATTTTCTAGCTAAGAATGTACAATACCCTGAAATGGATATTCTGTCTGCCAGTTAGCAAGCATAATTTGCATCCGTGTCTCCTTTAATTTGTAGGGTTGTTTGGATATAATCCTTTTATGTCTTGATTTAAGATATCTGAAAATTTTTTAGAGTTTTGAATGTTTTTTTCTTTGTGTTTGTGAATGATTTGGTTGGTTAAACATATTGCAAATATAATATTAGTTTGGGTGTGGAATATGTAGATTAGTTTTCCTATTAATTTTTTGATATTTTATTGCATTTATATAAGTTTATTCTTCATCAAGTTTTAGCTTTTGTCCTGGTTTAGTTGGAGTTTTACAAAGCTTGCTCTCAGTCATCGACTTTTTTTTCTGAGAGAAATATCTTCTGTATAGATTAAACAACTTCAGTTCTTAAGAAATATTTGACTTTTTCTAGCTTTTTGATTTCTAATTATTCATTGACTTTTTTTCTGAGAGTTTTTTTCTCTTTATTATCATTCTCTTGTAACAATCATATCATAAAAATATACAATAAGGATTGAAATTTTATCATTTGGGGAGTGTTTTATGAAGAGATGGTCTATTTGATTATGTTTGTATCCAACTTCTTCCATAGTCTTTGTAAATTTGTTAAAGCAAGCCATTGAGATTGTTTCAATTTATATAAGGTCTTTTTTTTTTCAATCTACATATTTAATTCGTTTCGAAGAAGCTATCAAATTCTAGTTGTGGATTCATACATACCCCTTTTTCGATAACCCTATGTAATTTTTTTTAAAAGAAATTATATTGTTGTATGGGTTATTCGTTTTGCACCTAGAAAAGTTCATTTTTACTACATGAGCTAAATATTTCTTGATTGTCAATCTTATGTGATTGAGTATATCTTCTTGCTATAAATCTTTTTTTTTTATGTCTTTGTAGGCTTTTCATTTGCTTGGTATTTGACCATGAAGATTTATTTCCATTCTATTATTTTCATTCCATTTGGTAATACTGTGATCATGAATTTCCTCTAAGGCATTCATCTCCTCTTATTGTTTTATTTCAATTTTTATTTTCAATTGTCTCAAATAAAATTTTTAGAAGGAAAGTGAGGTTGGTGTTGATATTGGCTATAAATATTTTATTAGAAAATTATGAAAGAAGATGTATTGAGAGATAAGATATAATCAATAATAATGAGCCGATCAATATTACCTAACAATATTTTAAATACTAAACTTGTTGGAGATTTTGGTTGGACTTGTTCCTTCTTGTTTAGACCTAAAGGGGTATATTAATATATTGCTTGCATTTGTTGGATTTTGGGTTTCAAGAATATCACGATGAAAAATATCATTAAATTTTTCGTTAATTTGAGAATTCCCTCCTTTAAATGAGTTTGAGTGAAGAAGTAATGAGTTTTATGAAAAATGACACTCATTGAAGTGAGATTTTTTGTGGGTGAATGATACACTTACCCGTTTTGTGTGGTAGAACACAATTAAAAACTTTTGGATTAACTTTTTCTCTATGTTATTTATAGATATGAACATAAGCAGTGCATTTAAGAATGGTAGGAGAGAAGCTATTTAAAGGATAGTACTCTACCAAATATTTTAAGGGTCTTTTGAAATTAATTATTTTGAAGGATACTCTATCGATTAAGAGTCAGCCTGGAACAACTTTTTTGCTTGACCGATGCCATATCTCTATTTGGGAAATTACTTTCTTGTTGCTTTTTAAAAATTTATGTAGTGGAAAACTCACTTTTTTCTACATGAACTCTTAATTTGCGGTGGCTGTAAGAAATGTTCTATCTGATTTTTTGGAAAAAATATATATTCATAATTCTCACGACAATTTTCTAAGAAGTTGCTTTTTTCCATCACAGCTTTAATACCGCATTTTTTAAAAAACTCTAGCCACCCCAAACTTACCTTACATAGGTAGTTAGAATAGTTTCTTCCCAATATTGTTTCAGTATTTGATAGTGGAGGAGAAGTGCTCAAATCACCTTCAAAATGTGGTTATTTTTCTTTTTGCCACTCTATTTTGTTGGGAAGTGTTAGGATAGGAAGTTTGGTGGATAATATCCTTTTTTTGAAAAAGAAGACAATGTGTGATTAAAATTTTTTAAATTTTACTAGAATATTAAGTCATATTTAGGTGTGAGATTTAATCATCTTGGATCTATTATAAAAAATAACAAGGATCAATGAGGATGAAACTTCTATAGATAATGTCAAGTAGTTGAAAAGAAATTTATCATAGGAGTGCCTTGCAATAATAGAATATTATGGAGATATAAAGCTAAAATTTATTTAACTTCAGGTAAGCCAGCTACACTATATGAGTATCAAGCAGTGAAATATGCTATTTGATAGATAAGTTGATTATTATAAAAGTGAGGATAAGTGGGACATGTAATAAAATTAGGATACTCTAAGAAATAATTATATTAAATGTACGATGAGTGTAGATCTGTTGAAGATGAGATTGTGAAAATTAGACTTAAATAGTTTGGGTATGCACGATGAATGGTAATTGACACACTTGTAAAACTCACATAGAAAATTATGGTTAATGGATTTTAAGAAGGTGGTAGACCAAAGGAAACTTGGATATATGCTGTGCATAAAGATTTGTGCAAATAGTTTTAACACCTTAAACAACAGCAAGCAAGGACAAATGATGAATGACTTTTGAGGATGATACCTAATGGTTGAGATGAGACTAATGATTTTGATAATGTGAAAATAACTAGAACAAGCATTATAAGGCTTGGTAGTTAAAATGAAAATGTATTGTAGTAGTTCTATGCTTGTTATTCTCTAATATTCTTAAAATTGTTATTTAGGTGTACTAGATTTAAATTTTTTTTTATCTATTGTATAGAAGATTGAGAGTATGGGTGAGGATGTAAATTGTAGATATAAGATTATGTGATTATAATAGAAATGTTTTATTGGAGTACTATGCAATAAGAGGATTTGATGATGACATAAAGATAAGTTTTATTGACCTATAATTTGCTTAGTTATGCTACATGTATTTGAGCATTAGATAGTAAAGAAGTTATTGACCGGCATGTTGAGCATGGAAGAAATATGGTAGATGTGTGACACTACTAGAATATATAGATTAAGAAATGATCATATTAGAGAAATGGCTGTAGTAAAGATAAGACAGTAGAAATTAGATTTAGATGGTTTAGGCATCTATGATGAAAGATAGAATATCTACCTATAAATGGGTAGATTAATTAAGATTGAAGGTTTAGGAAGAAAATGGGTAGACCGAAGGTAACTTTAATAGAAAACGCCATCTATATTATGAGTTACCTATCACGTGGCTTGTTTTTTCTAAATGTAGTACATAATGAACTTTGTGTTGACATATGCATTCGTTAACGAAGTGATGACGTTTCATTAGTGATCTGCAGTGGAACAAATTGCATGAAACTTTAGATAATATTTACAGGTTGGTGTCGAAAAGATGCACAAAGAAAGCAAATATGTTTTATTTTTGGATGATGATGTTAGGCTGCATCCAGGGACAATTGGAGCCCTGACAGCAGAAATGGAGAAAAATCCAGAGGTTTGTATCAGCATTTTTGCTTTCATTATGGTTCAATCAGTCTTTGATTATGTGATACATATCTTTTCTTTGTGTTCCTAAGGTAGTTTTTTTTTTTCAAATCCATGTCATTTTCGTTGTTATTGTACAGATTTTCATTCAAACAGGATATCCTCTTGATCTACCATCTGGAAGCTTGGGGAGTTATTGCATTTATGAATATCATATGGTACTTCATATCCAAAAATTTCAATTTTGTTTTCTTATTTTTGTATAGTTTTTCCCCCCTCATTCTATGTCTCCATTTTAAGTAAATTTCTTGACTTTCAGCCATAAATACTACCTTGCAGTTACTTCTCAGAAATTTGATTTTTCATTTTTTGCACATTCTTAGATCTTCATATAAACAATTCTGACTATATTTCCTGGAAAACTTATTCTTAGCTTCTAGTGTAATCTTCAAGCATTTAGCTGTAAGTAAAAAGATTCGGCGCACTTCATGTCCCTTGAGAGCTAACTGCCAAATGCACTAGTTTGGCCATCAAAATTATCAATTGTACGGCTCAAATCATGGCAGTTTGACAATGAATTATTTGAACATCATCATCATTATTATTGTGGTCATCTATGGCCTAGTCTTTTTAGCTATTTGCGGCAATGACTGATTAGAGCAGAAATTTTAAATGGTTTGGAGACTTGAGAAAAGACATTCTTTCATAAGTAGCAGTACAGGAGTTTTTTAAGACTGGATAAATATGGGGGAAGGGTTTTAGTGGATAATCTATGTAGTCATATCTTGATTATTTTTATCTGAATAAAATTTAAATGAAACCTCACTATAAACTGTACAGAGCAAAATATTTCTCGAAGGCCGTTTGAGTGTGCAGAAGTGGATCCATCTTGAATATCCTTTGTCTAGCAATTTGGGTGATACTCAAACTTTCAGGTTATCATCCTAAATGATTTTAGAAAATTAGGTAAATTACATTTAGGCTTTATTTTGTTTTCATTAACTTTGGATTGATTGCTTGATTTATTTTTCACTTAGTTTGGTCCTTTATAGGTCTTTTTCACCACTCTTTTCTTCCATTAAAGTGAGTCACTGGTCTGCAGTCCTGTTGGAAAAGTTTTCAAGTCATAGATTTCCTTGTTTGCATTCCAAATCAGCTTTAATGGGGATTGTCTTAAAGGTTTCCTCGCTTGTGATGAGCATCATCATGGTGGTATTGTTGGGTAGCATGACAAGGAGTCGAGTAGATGAGAGGCTGAGAAAGTGCATAAAACTTATAGTTTTCTGGTTGTCATCCTAATTGATTTCTAAATGTTACGTAAATAACATCTAAGCTTCTATTATTTTTTATTTTTTGTCCTTTGTTTTGAGTGGTTCATTTTTCCAGCATGATACCTAGGTATCTGCAACTTTTTTCCCCTTGAGTCTTTTAGGTTCTTTTTGTAACTTGTATCTGCAACTTATTTCCCCTTGAGTCTTTTAGGTTCTTTTTGTAACTTTTTTTTTTTCAATTGAATTGAGTCAATGGCCTGCAATCATGTTGGACTTTTTTTTTCAGTCATAGATATCCTTATTTTAATTCCAAGTTGTCTTTAATGGGGATTGCTTTAAAGGTTTTCCTCACTGTGAGCATTATCATGATGGTATTATCGGGGAGCATGGCAGGAGGGAGTCAATTAGATGAGAGTTTGAGAAAGAGCATAAAAAAATGTACTTGAGAGTTTAGAGATAGATGGGAGGCTAAGTTAAGAGTCAGTTAGGAGTTGGGTGGCTGATAAAGAGCCAAAAACCAAATTTGAAATTTTAGAGAGATGCGAGGTTAAGAGGGGACACAATGGCTTCTGCAAGCAAATGGGGTAATTTTTCCATTTGTTACCCCTTCATATTGTCTATGTGAAGGATCTAAATGAAGGTTTTTTCATTGTTGAGATAACAAAGTCTTCTTCATTGATTTCACAAGTAATACGAATTTTTCCTAATTATGGGGATTTATTATTATAAGGACTATATTGAAAATTTAAATCTTTCCAATTGTTCAAAATTTCTATGATAACAATCTCTTTTAAGCTAGATCATATATATCTAGTAGGTTTAGCTTGTTGTAAGGATTGGAGAATATCTGTTAAACATCAGCTGATTGCTCTTTGTTGGTGTTGTAAGGAGTGATGACCTTTGATAGAGTCATGTCTTTGATGAAGTAACAATTGTCTTTGATATATTATGTTCTTGAAAAATAAGTTTTCAAACAATGTAAATTGCTACTTGATTATTACAATTAAGCATGCTTGGTTGAGCCATAGGAAACAAAAATCTTCTATTAAATTTTTATCCGTATCATTTTGTAGGTAGAATGTGCCATAGCTGTATGTTGAACTTTGAAGTTAGTCTAGTGACAATAATGTGCTTCTTCTCCATGAAAAAATAGTCCTCTTATAAAATATTATTTCATGTTTCTTGCAATTAAGTATCATAGTATGTTCTTTAAGTTTTGAATCACATCATTTTGTCGACATAATGTGCCATAGCAGTATACTTAGCCTCAACTATCAGTTTTCAATTTGCTTCTTACTTCTCCATAAAACATTCTCTCCCACAAATATATGGTATCAAAGTAGACTTCCTTTCTTCAACAAATTTAGCATAGTTACATTTGAAAAGCTTCAATACTTAATTGACCAGGTTTCTAATAACATAGACTTTCATTAGAGAATTTTTTATATATCTCAAAATTGTTTAGACAATATTCTAGTCTATGCTGATTAGCACACCAATAGCGAAGGATATATTTGGTTTGGTGATAGTGAGGCATGAAAGCTTGTTAATTAAATGCCATTAATGAGAAATATACTTGAAGCTTTCATTATCATTGGATTTTTTTAGAGTATCTCTTTGAGAGTCAATTGTTTTGCACTCGGGAAACCTAAATTCCTTGCTCCTTTGAAAGAGATAAATACCACTATTATAATGCTGTGAAGGGTGACCTTCTCAAGAACATTTTTTAACTTATCAAACTTACAATGAGATCTTTGTTTAAGCCCATAAATAGTCTTGTTGAGCTTAACGACTCTAGTCTGTCTCTAAGCAACTTCTTCTGGTGGTTCCTCATGGAAAAGACTTTAGTGGAGTTGCCTTAGAGGAAGGTATCACTTGTATCTATATGTAGTAATGAACAGTCTTGATTACTGTGATTGGAAAATTAAGTCGGATTGAGTTGTGCCTTATACTTCAGAAGAATTTGTCAAAGTAATATATCTTATAAAAAGTAAAATCTTTGGCAATGAGGCATGCCTTGTTTCTTTCAATAGATACATTAAGTTAAAATTTGATAGTGTAAAGCTATCTTTATGGTACTAATTTAATGCCATGTGGAGGGATACCAGATCCCATGCAAGAGGATTGAGCAAAATAACGATTTTAGTATCTATATTTTATTTTCACGTGAGATTCTAGATTGCGTCTGGGTATATCTTAAGATTGATTGATGGCAAACAAAAGGCAAAGATATACAAGTTGGATGAAAAATAATCAAATGATCTATTTGATTGAATAAGATGACCATAAATACTCTTTTTACTTTATTTAACGACAATTAAAAAATGGAGATTAGTTACCTCTGGTAGGCATAATGCCGACTGGTTGTGTAGAAGGATGTCATTATGTGTAAACTTGTAATTGTGGCATTATATGTATATATGCTTCTAGTGGAAGAGGAATAGGTTGAGAGGATGTTTCAAGGGAAGATGATGAAGAATAACAGGGTAAGAAATCATGTAACATTACATTTATTGAAATACGTGTCTTGTAGTCTGTCTGCTCATAACAATTTAACAAAAGTTTTTTTGAGAATTCCAATATCCCTAAAACATACATTGAATGGTTCAAGGAGAGAGTTTATCACTTGTACTGAAGGAATACACAATGCAAACACAACCATAAACTCTATGTTGGAGTTGAAAAGGAGGATGTATGGATAGAGAATATAAAAGCAGTGACATCACAAATAATTACAGATGAAATAAAATGAATAATGAACCGTACAATTAAAATATTATCACCACAAATTGATGAGGACATTTATGGAGAATATCAATATATTGGCAATGTGGAGAAGTTGACCATTCTTGTGTGCAAAAACCCCATTCCATTGAGTTGTATAAGGATATAAGGTTTAATGAATTATTTCTTTATCAGCACATAAAGAGCGAAATTGACATTACATTTATTTTAGAGTGTTATTGGTATGTAGAGATTTAATTATAGTAGAAAAATAAACTTTTTTCAGTCAATTGAAGAAAAAATCATTGATAATAATGATAGATGGTAGAGTAGGTATGTCTTATTGTTTTATCTATTATATATGAAGAAACACTAGGATCTAAAATCTAAGATGTACTAGAAGTAGTAGCTATAAAACTATGAGAGAAAATCGCATGGGAGATGGACATATGCTTTAAAGTGTTGAATCAGGCAAAGTTTAGAATCGACAATTAAAAATCTTGTTTTTTTTTTAATCTGTGAGGCAAGATGTAAGTCTCCAGTCATTTTGAAGGGTAAGCTTCACACTCAAATAATTGATTTAAGGAAAAATATTATGTATTTTAAAGTGTGAAGAAATATTACTTCAACTTCCTAATATATTAACTCATGAAATAGTTATATATCAACATCTTATCAAAATAAGATGTAACAAATCGCGTAAAATAGTAAATAATATTTTAATATCTTAAGATCAAATTATAAAGGGCTATATAAATATCAGACTATCGAAGTAAATTATGATATCAAAGTACAGTACTATAACAAAAAAAGAAAAATGGTAATCAAAATAACTCTCTACCACATATTTTTTTCCACCTAAGTTAGAAATAGCAATTCAAGAGCATTAAAATTTCTAAATTTAAGAATCCCCATCACTTTCATCATTTTGTGAGTCTTTATTTGAATTATATACAAGTCAAATTAGTTTTTCTCCCTCTTCATTCTCACTGAATCCATGTTCTTCCATTCATTTTCATCTTCAATTTCACTCTTGTTTCTCTTTCCTAATCAATAGTAGTCAATAAAAACAATGGCCGCTATTTGTTAAATTTCTAATTAGATCAAATTTTTATGAATAATTTTTTATGTTTATTTCTGATTGGCTTATGATGGCTCTATGTTTGTCCCCATAAAAAAATTATCATTGAGATTATCTTTCTATAAATCAAATGGCGTTGCTT